AAGCGGCATACCTGTGTGTAAACACATGTGCATCTGAAAACAGGATTACATAAGGGGTGCAGTGCTTTTAAAGAAAAAAATATATACAAATACAACAGTGATTTGTTTTAAGACAATGTCATTATATAAGTAATAACATGTATACTGAAATACAAACATCTTTGATTGGGAATTAAGAAAAAAAAAGAAAAAAAAATTTGCAGCAAAAGCTGTGACATCAGTAGATTCAAATCAACTGTGGATGACAAATGTCATGGAAAAGACCTCTTGATTGGAAAGTGCAGTGGTAGGTTATTGCAGAATCAAACTGCACAAGAGAAGAACAACCAGCAGATGAACTCACATGGTTGCAATTTGACTATAACATGGGTAAAGCCATATGCAAGATCTGTGCATTGTTGACCAAATATATAAGACTGAAAGGGTTTTTAGGGTCATTTAAACAGGAGACCTTAAAAAAAAACCCTGTTAAGTCCATGAGCCCAAATATTGCCTAAAGGCCAAACATGTCCTGTTGGCTTCAGAAGCTACACCATTGGCTGCATGCTTAAGAAAATGGATCAAGGGATGTTCAACCAAATGTAAGTTCTATCAATGTGGCCTATTACATTACAAAACGCAACAGGCCATAAACAGACTTAGGTTTGTTAAAGCTGAACGGGAAACTAGGGGTTGCTGTGAGAGAGGAGTATGCAAATGACAAGAGATGCAAGGAACACATCTCATGTATTGCAATTGTAATCAGGAAAGATCTAATCTAAAAGAGGCAACATATGTCAGTTTGATGCTAGATGGATCGATTGACAAGGGAGGAGTAGAAGAATATTGTATATCAAGAACAATAGGATCAAATAAGTATTTTTATCAATCTTTCCTCTTGAAATTGCTACCTGCGGATGGGTTCCCTACTGGAAAGCAAAGGATTGGCTGAGATAATCAAGATTTATAACCTCAGCTATGGAGGCGAAGCTAGGCAGGGTCAGCCAGAGCGAGGGAGAAAAGGTGAGCAAAATCACCTTCTCAAAGGGAGGCAAGGTGGATTGAGAACCTAAACAATGATTTTACCACTACAGAGTCAGGAATACACGATTGTGTTCCTTTAAGCTCTGTGAAAGAAGGAAAATGAATTGATGACCTTGATTCAGTTTTAAAGAAGCTGTAACAATTTTACCAGTATTCACCCAAGAGAATGTGACAGCTAAAGCAGGTAGCTGATAGTTTCCAGGAAAAAAAAAATCCAGAAATTTCAGTAGTTTTAGAACACATGGTAGGTGTCAAGCAAAGTCAGTGCTCTACCTGCACTTTTCAAAGACTGGAAAAGTATGACAGTCTACCTTGAAAGCATTGCTGCAAGAAATGACAGTGTTTCTCCAAGCACATGGTTTTTTGAAAAAACAAAACAAATGATTTTAAATTCATTCACATGCTCCCTTTTTCTGCTTGCCTACCCTGAAATGATTAAGAACCCTTTTATTTCAAGGGTAAAAGCTTGTCGTAAGCAAAACTGAGTTGCATGCGATAAAACGCAATTTCATTGTTAAACTCACTAAAATGCCCATGACGTTTGGTTTTACTCTTCTTTATGTGCAAATGTAAGATCTGTTATTTTTGTCATTGAAAATAATAGTTAGTTTAAAAAACAAAACAAAACAAAAAACTGTCTCCTGACATTTTTAGTTGGCTCCTGGGTTCAAATCAAATTTGTCACGCCCTGCAATGAGGGGTTGTTGCATAATTAATGTTGTTACATGTAACATTGTAGCTTAAAGTGGACAAGTAAGTGAATTGTTAAAACTGCAGAATTGGAAATGCCAAACTAATGGCATATATGTAACTTGGGTACCTGACAAAAATAGGAATATCATTTGCCCATTCTAGCAAGCAATCAGCCCAGGCAGAACTGAAGGAGGAACAACAAAAACTTGACGGCAGAAGCTCCACGTTTTCGGCAAGTGGACGATTTACAATTGGACAAAGTAGATACAAAGTAGTAGAAAATATTGTTAGATCAGAGTACAGTGTCACAGGAAGACAATTCTAACAGGTTATGGCCTTTCAGTAATACTATCCTACCAGGTTACAGTAAACGCCTTGCTGCATGGAATGGTGAACAGACCTTGTATCTAGACATGTAGTAGTCTACACCATGAAGCATGTTAATTTTACGTGAGTTTATAGATAGATACATCTGCAGAATGATCCTTTTATGACTGAATTACTGAAATTAGTATCCATTTGAATATAAGGCAATATTAAAACTGAAAACCTTTTGGAAGAACTACGTGCAACTTAATTCTAATAACAGAAGCTTGTCTGAATATAGGACCAAGTTTTTAATACAATGAGGAACCATTTTGTGCATTGTTGTGTTGATTTAATAAATACATAACACGAAAATTACAACTCCTATAATTCTGAGGGATGCCACATATAGATCAATAAAGGGTTCTTTGACCCTCTTCATTCGATACATGATTCTAATAGGTTTAGCTCCAAAATTGTTGCATTCAGCAAAGCAAGTTAAACAAAAGATTGCATACTAAACTCAAGAGATATTGGATGAAGCAATGTTGTATGAAAATGACAGATCTATGTGATATATCGAACAGAATGGTCAGAGGTGTATGGGGAAAAGGGACATTTTCTTTAAACAATTTAGAATACTTTTTGTAAGTAGTGTGCTTGAGTGTGTTTTAGATACCTACGTACTATGAAAACCAAAATAAAAAATTAATTACAAATCAAATAAAAAAAAATAAAAATAAATAAATAAATAAATAAAGTTCCAAAAACAGCGCTGAAGAGTTTTAAATAATCTTTGGTACACATGATTTTTAGAGAACACATGTACTGTAAGAGCAAACTGAAAGCCATGGGGTCCTGTGCTATAGCAATCACTACTGTGGACAGTCATGTCCTGGAGCTAACTCCCAAATGTGTCATGGTGAAGATATGCAAGTCAGCTTTTGGGAATTATTAAAAAATGTAAGGAGAGAGGAGAAGGATTCTAAGAAAACCCCCTTTAGCATGGTCTTCGAGCGAAGGTCATACCAGGACTTTAACTTACCCTGGTTCTGCAAAGGCAAAAGCGGTGTATGTGGATGAGGATGAGAAGGAGCTGAAGGTGGCATAGATGGCGGATGAGTAGCTACAGGACTCAGCACAGCAGTAAATAAATCTTCAACATCTTTTCCTTCAAGCTCTGCAAACCCAACAAAGAGAGTAGGAACCAAACTTTTTAATGTCTGTCTGTGCTGTACATCGATTGGAATGATTTTTGAAAGAGCAAAACGAAGTTTGGTTATAATTACCTGGAATTTTATAGAGTTTTCCCAAAATTGCACCTGATAGCAAAGAGATGACAGTTAGTATGGGAGGGGGAAAAAACAACAAAACAATATTTCACCATATTTAGCTTTTTAAAAGCTAGGAAATCTTCTCACAGTGGGGTCATGTGGGAGTTTGCAGTTACTAGACATCTTGGTACATGAGTTATAGTTCAGTATTTGGGCTACATTTACTAGACTATAAGTAAATGCGGGAACAGACAATAATATAGGACAAAATAGAAGAGTATGAGAGAAGGAAGAAAACTCCCCAACTTGACTCAGGTGGCAAACCCACCCTTTGTATACAAGCAGCGATGCACTGCCACCTTTTAATCAGTCTTTAAGAGGTGTGCATCTTACATACTCCGTGAAGCACAATAACAAAAAAACAAAAACACAGTACAATGTTTTTGGAAGAATAAAAAGTTGGATTACAGAATTTAAAGCCAAAAGTGAAAAAATATACAATCTACAAAAAAATATAAATAATTTTTCTTGATAGAATGACAGTGTAGGTACCTCATCATGGAGTCCTCTGGCACTTTCTCTTCATTCAGTGTTAAACCAATTTTGAGAAATGTAACACTAAAATAAGGGTCACTGGTCACCTACAGACCAGCCTCCACTGGAGGTGTGGCTAAGGCAGAGATTACAAACTTCCTTCTAGTCATACCCATTCATACCAACAATGGGCTCTGTGATAGTGTCAGCTAACCACATTCAGCCAATCACCGTCGCCGATTGCGTGCAGACTAAAGCTTCCTTATTAGCCCACGAAGCAAGGAGGGAATGGGCTTCCAGGGATGTTTAGCATTAAAACATTAAAAAAAGGTTTAACACGGAGTAGAAGGACAGGATCATGGGACTTCAAACACTATAACCACTTCTACGAGATGAAAACGTTTGAGTGCCTACAGTGTCCCTTTAATCCAAATTATATTTAGCTTATAATCTGCAAGCAGTACAAAGGATTTAGAATTTAAAATGCTGTTCAGAGCTGCAAATAGAACCATGAATGCAAATATTCAATACAGATCCCTACAATTGCCATGTTAAAAATTTCCCATATGCTACAAAAATAATAATAAAGACTATGATGAAAACAAAGAAAGGTAGAGTATCTGTTAAAGTCAGGTGGTCAGCTAGCCTCGTTTGGGAAAAAAACAAACAAATCCTTCAAATGAAAATCTTCAGCATTTCCCAGACTCTGCCTGATCTGCTATTCATTGATCATTCAAATCTTTTCTACAAACTGAACTAGCAAAAGTGATGTAATGGTTGAGGTAACTGTGTATTCATTTTGTGAGGTTGTCCACTAATGCCAGCAGACATGGCAGGGTGTAAGCCAGCTGGTGATTTCACACATGATAGGGACAGATTTCTGGATTATGCAAAGTCACAGAAGGTGGTCAAATCTTTGACAAACAACCCCCCAATTCTCTATAACAGTCTTAAAGTTGCAAAACCGTAGGGGTACGTGAATGTTAGATGACTGCATTTGCTAGAAAATAAAAATAAATTTTATTCTACAATTCCAATAACTGAAATTGCTCCTCAAATAATGTCAGGCAAACTGCTTTATCCAGCGGAGTCAACTTCCAACTCTTCCGGATACTCTTTCAACCACACCACAACTCGGATAGCCAAGTGGGTAGATGTATGAAGAGATTAATTATAATTAAAATACAAAACAAAAATAAAAACATACAGGGCACAGAAATGCCCTGTATGTTTTTATTTTTGTTTTGTATTTTAATTATAATAAATCTCTTCATACATCTAGACTTTTGTGCCCTGTATGTTTTTATTTTTGTTTTGTATTTTAATTATAATAAATCTCTTCATACATCTACCCACTTGGCTATCAGAGTTGTGGTGTGGTTAAAAGAGTATCCGGAAGAGTTGGAAGTTGACTCCGCTGGATAAAGCAGTTTGCCTGACATTGTTGGAGGAGCAATTACAGTTAGAGCCTGCTATTTAAAGGCTCTAAAGATCGTGAGTGACCCATTACATTAACACTGCTGAAAATATTTCTTTAAACAGTATTATGCTATGTACATTTTGTGTATCTCTTGTAGATTGATCCAGTAAGATACTGACTGAAAAACCGATCTACAGATATAAGTAGAATATTGTGATATCACTTTTTAGCACCCCCTTCTTTCCCACTTTTGATGTACATATATAGTGCCTTTGGGGATTTATTTGGCACTTGGGGGTAGTTGCTGTTTTCATTTCTATTAAGAGCGCCAATCCACCTGTATATATTTCTGTAACAGGAAATATATTTACTTAAGTAATTCCAATAACTGGTCAGTGTGCAATAATTATTTAGCTATAAATAGCTACATCTGTACTAAACTTTCTAGTACAAACTATTATTTCTTAGACTCTAAACACTGTGCTGGCTAGTAACTTCGCTTTTCTTTAGTTTTCACTGTTTGTATTGGCGCTGTTGTGTACTATGATCGTTGCTGCTGCACAAGAGTAGTGGGAGTTTGAGCACAGGACTTATGTTTGTGTATTTGTATTCACTTTTGTATCACACAGCTATGTTACAATGCTGCCGCCCACCCCATGTGTTCCCCATTAAGGGTTAATAAGCATGTAGGGGTCTAGAAAAATACCCCTCTTGGTCTCATTAGGGATTTCTTTGCCCGAAGCTAAAGGAAGCAAGGTGAATTGATAGTGTAGGACCCACCTAAGAGGTGTGCCTTGACGTGGCAGGTGGTCTTGTATCTAACGGCCATTGGAGTTACTAAATAACCTCGATTTCAAATATGCATAGGGATTTGGGAAGGGCGCCGGTAACTTTATTTCTTTAGTTTTTACTGTGCTGGCTAGGGAACATACATAGATAAACTCAGTATCTGACTTCTTAATAGCATGGAGAATAAGATGCTTTGCTGCAGCTGGTTGTACAGCAGAAAGGTAAGATGTGCATTATAATTTAATACATTGACATAGCTCTATGGTATTTGTTACTGATAACCATTTAGCTCAGCACAGTACAGCACTGTCTGGATACAGTTCATTCCCAATAATTTAAAGGGACACACACAGAGAAGGGTTATAATAAAAAAAAAAAAAAGAAAATAAAAAAAACACTTTTCAAAGGTATGTTAGATTCAGGATGATCCTTCTCATGGTAACCTATATATGTTTTAACCTTTTTTCATTTATCTTTAATAATTCATATGATTATTCTCATTTTTTTTTAAGTATTTCTTCATGTCATAAAACAACATTTGCAACTCCAAATAGAGCCCTTGCATTCCTACACTATGGACATTACATGCCATAGGGCCAGCTTGTAGAGCGTCACAATAAATAACAAGCTGCTCTCCCACAATACCTAGCCCGTGTCTTCACTGCCATAATGGGAACACAGCGAGAAGTGGAATAATGGAATAATATGACAATCTGGCATATTTACATATTATAAATCAACAACCAGAATTAAAGAAAAATGCAGGTTTGTCAAGCACATCTGAAGGTTTTTGTATTTAAAGAGTTTAATGGACAAGTATCACGAGAGAGAGAGATAGATAAGAGAAAACCAGGTTTACCATCTGTGACCATTTTATCCAGCTCTGGGCTTAAAATCCCATCCAACTGGTCTTCGCTTAAAGGCCGGGAGCTATGGGTGACGCTTGTATGGGGCAGAGATGAAGAGTCATCAGACATGGCGCTTATGTCAAGCCCGGCTGAAAACAAATACCAACAGTTAATTGTAAGTTACAAATCAGAAAGGATCATTCTATTCACTTTCTCATAGTTACATTTTGAACACAGAAGGCTACATACTATATATCCAACATCTATAGCATTCAGAGTACAATCAAAAATGAAACATCAACATACGCACAACTTTATAAAAATAAACACAAATATATCCACAATCTTAACTATAAGTCAAAATACATGTCTGCTGTGTAGGATCCAAAGTTCGTAAGGAACTGATCCTCCTTGAGTCCATTTGTTTGTAAATTTCCAATTTTAAGGGGAATTACCTTTTTCTATGTTTTGAGTACATACAATATATCGCAATATTTCTCTCTTTTTTTCGTATATATATATATATATATATATATATATATATATATATATATATTTTTACGTATTGATATTTCTACTGCCTTTTGTCTATAAGTATTTTTACACATGTGTAATGTTTGTACACCTCTGTCTAGTCTGAATAAATACATTAGGTTTGTCTCTTTAAATTACCAAAACCAATACTTCAACATTTAGGTGATGTACCACCACCTATAAAACACTAAAGACCAAGTGCAGCCCTAAATGCACATTTAGTGTTTTATAGGTAGTGGTACATCACCTAAACGTTGAAGTATTTGTTTTGTTTTAACATTTGTACAGTGGTATTTTTTTAAAAAATTTTTTTAGGAATGACCACAGAGTGCCACAGCTCCTATATGTTTTAGTTAAATTCCCATGTATTAGACGTGCCACCTTATTCACATGTTTTTACAAATGGTCTCTTTAAATGATTTAATTCTAGGGAATACGGTAATGGACAGTCACCCAGACTGGAGCAGAGAGTGCTGCAGTAACACAGTAATATTATGTGTAAAGTGTAGTTTTATTTTCCTCTGCTCCAGTGCGCTGCTTAATAAATATTACAATAACTGTACTGTAATACAAAATGTATATATCCTAAAAAGATGTATAATAAACAATCAATGGAGAGGGAAACTACATTTAGAACTGAGTGAAAAAGATAGGAATTGCAATCATGATGAACGAGATATTCATGAACGTGAAAATGACTTTACATATCGGGCAGACAATCTGTAGCAATCCAGATGTTGTAGACTACATCTCCCATAAGGCTCTTAAAGCCATAATTCTGGCAAAGCATTGTGGGACATATAATTCACAACAACATGGACTGCTACATGTTGCATATCTATCTCTATCTACTTCTGATCGATAGATATACTATTACAGACAGTTTAAGTGAAATGAGTAACAAATTCTCTGTCAATTTCCCGTAACAAGAATTTGACTACACAATGCGGCAATGTTAACAAAGTGGTTAAACTTCGCTAATGTGATACCAGAGCCATGTCTAGGCTGGACAGAAGGAGTGTGTAGATACAAAGTAACATTGTGTTTCTATTGATTTCCTTTCAGAGGAAGAGAGGCCATTTTTTTTACAATACCACTATACAATATCCTATCATACAATCGAAGAAACTATATATATATATGGAAAGAGCAGGAATGGGGATTATTTTGTATATCTAAAAGAAGGTAGCGGCAGTGAAAAAATAAAAATAAAAAAGCACAGATATCTGAAGCATTGAAACAGACACAGACTATTCAAGCATAAAATAATTAACCATACCGAGGAACTCTATGGAATCAACCCTGTGGGCTCAAGGATTTTACAAGTATCTAAATATTATTCTGGCTAGCACTCAACATTATTGTAGAACACCCACAATAGATTTTAGTTCTAATTAGAAAAACGTAATAAATCTTGAATCCAAGCAACTCTTGTTGTAATTTCCATTAAATGCATAAGCACCAGACCCAACAGATTACAGCAACCGAGTCACTGCATCTTGTTATTTTAAAGGGTTAATAGTCTGCAAAGTCCCAGGGTCAATTTGCATAGAGTAACCAGGTATGGCAAGGGTTTTGCCCATTGGATGATCTTACCAAAAGGAGAGGATGAACTCACGACCTGGAAAGTGCATAAATCAAGACCTACAAGACCCAAAACCAGATAAAATGGATGATTATAACAAAAGAAAACATAAGAAATGAAGGGATACAATCATACCAAGCTGCATGCCAATAAATGGGAAAAAAAATAAAAAATAATCAAAGCTGCATGCACAGCCATAATCAATTTAGTAACCAGTCAGTGAGATGAAGAAAACGCAAGGAATTTACATTCATGAAAGCACTGCTTTGAGACTCAGATGCAAATAATTTCATTTAAGACTAAAAAAGAAATCTAAGGGGCAAAAAGCTTGACAAACCTTTTGAAGACATACCGGATTGATTTGCAGATTTTGCAAGGTCATCAGAAAGAATTCCAAGAAGATCATCATCTGTGTTAAGCACCTCGGAGAGATCGGCGAGGGAATCTGGGGGACCACCTACAAGAGTAAGAAGGAGGGTAACCAGTGATCAATAATGAATGATACATTTATGGACAAAATACATACAGGTTTCAGGAAGAGGACTTAAGCTGTGTTAGGGATACACCACCCGTAGATCTCCAAACATACATTGCAGAGAAAAGTAGTCCTCTAGTACAACACACAAAAAATGTACAAGCTTTACGAGCTATGATAAGTGGTAAGAGTTTTGAGCCATGGATAGTTTTAAAACAAAGAATCCATCATGCTTTGCTAGAGTCCGTTATTCTCAAGGGGCTTGTCCCCTTTCTCCCAAACTTACAATCTGGGAGACCGTAATTTCATAAACGGATAGATCTAACTAAGATTTGTATTTTTTAATGCCCGAAAACAATTCGGACAATGCCCGAAAACAAAGAGCATTCTTGGGATCATAATGAAATAGAGTCACTTATAAAATGAAGATATTCACAAAACAAAAAAATATATACTACAAGTATTTTAAGCAATCATCTACTCTACGCAGAGTGGAAAGCATTAAATGGCAAAAATGTAATAACCAACATATGAGAAATGATTAAATATGGGCTGGTTGGGTTTCATTATGTGTTATTTTAAAACCATGTGTTTCTCTGTTGCTG